TATTTTGAAGTCAGTCCTTTTATTTTTTTTTCAAGGGCAAAGGAAAGGAGTTGGGGGTTGGGGCTCGATTCACGACACCAAAGACCAAAAGATAGTAATTTTCAATAATTTTTAGACCTCCCTAGAGGAAGGAAAAAAAAACCCCAACCCAAACTTAACTTATTCCCACTTGAGAGTCACTTCCCAAATTGCACAAATCTGGAAGCCAGATTTTTTTTTCATTTTTTTGAGAGGTGGCACACTCTGACGGCACAGAGTGATGCCCAGCCCTGGGAAGAAAGGAAAACAGAACCCAAGTAAAAATCTACTAGCAGTGCCATGGTTGTGAAGGAATGGAACCCTGAGGAAAACGTCAGACTGAGTCAAAGGCCTCCCCAACCACGCTGTGTCCAATCTTTTATCTTCTTTCTAAGATTCAACAAGAAACCAGAGGTTAATCTGCATGGCTCTCTTGCTTCCAGAAAGAATGCAATGTCAACACTGGAGGAGCATCATAAAGATTCTGTCATTGTCAGGAATAGTTGGAATTTCTGAACTCACTTCATATCTGGCTTTCCTGACAGCTGTTTAAGAGGAGTTAAGGTATTTCTCAGTAAATTGATTTATGAGACACTTGGAAGTTGCCAGGGCTGGAATGGTGGGGGTTCCTACATAATAAGAATTGTCTTCTACATCTGGGAGCCGAGTGTCATTTTACTCAAGAAGGACCCAGGATGCCGGAAGGAATTCAAAAGAGAACAAGGTTAAAAGATTTGGAGAAAGGGTTTGAATTAGCCACTCTTTCAAATGCTAATGGGCCTGGGAGAGGCCTTACCAAGAGCATCATGCTGTAGCAGGAAAGGGCAAGTACCAATAAGAGTTCTACACCACCCTCCATAGAGTCTAGGATACTAGAGTGAGACTTAAGTGGTGAAATATAGCCCAAAGGGAGTGAGATACTACCAATGCCCCATTTCTCATCCATCTACACATTCAACAAGTGTTTGCTAAAAATCTACTGGAAGCCTGCCATTGTGCTGGGCCTGGAGATAAATGGTGTAAAGGGTTACAACAAGGTGGTCTTCTTCTTCTTCTTCTTCTTCTTCTTCTTCTTCTTCTTCTTCTTCTTCTTCTTCTTCTTCTTCTTCTTCTTCTTCTTCTTCCTTCTCCTCCTCCTCTTCCTCCTCTTCCTCTTCCTCTTCTTCCTCTTCTTCTTCCTCCTCCTCCTCCTCCTCTTCCTCCTCTTCCTCCTCTTCCTCTTCCTCTTCTTCTTCTTCCTCTTCTTCTTCTTCTTGCCATCACAAAGTAGCAAGGCAAAATTTCATAAGTTACAAGCACTAAGAAATAGATATGTACACACTGTAAAGGGACAAACTGGAGGATGTGATCCAGTTGAGAAGGTTCCAAAAGGCTTCCTTGAAGAAGTGATGGAGCGCCTGGACTGAATGGAAGACCCGTGAAGGGAAGTGGGAGAAGTGTTGTCAAACGGAACGGCATATGCAAGGCAGAGAGCACCCTGGTCTCAGTTTGCCTTTAATCCCAACAAGACGAAGCAAACAAGGGTTTCAGTAGTAAAGGTTGGAGGATGGTGAGGACAAAATATCTTTAGAGAAGGTTCTGCTCTGCTCGTTGATGCAAGGAATGGCTGGCCCAGCAGCCGGTTATACTTCTAGGCTTAGACAACACCACCACAGAAGGAGGCTGCCGCAGTCAGCCTGCAGGCATTGTGCTGAGGCTGCCGGGAAGTGAGGGGAGCATTCTCCCAAAAGACTTTGCTCTAGCATCAGCTGGAAATCTCGGGAGATGGGACAGACTGGCCTGAGTCTTTACTGTAGCTTTAGTGGAAGTGGCAATGCTTCTAAATATGCAGGCCAACTGGTGAGAATCCTTAGAGGCGGCAACACTGGGTGCTGAGAAGCGTGTGTTGGAGGGGCCTAGCTCTGCTCTGGGACTGTCAGCATGTTCTACTTATTGATTATTGAGAATCTAGCCCAGAGCAGGTCTCCCTTAGCAGCCCAATGGCTTGCCTACTGCTCCCTGAACTGAATCCTGCCTAAGGGTTTTACAGAGGCTGCCCCTTCCAGTGGAGTATTCCTACTCCAGAGGCTCCTTCTCTGTCCTGTTTGTTTCACCTTTGCTCAAGGTTCTTCCTCCTTAAGAAGCTATTCCCATTTGCCCCCACTTTAATTCTCTGACCTCAGTGTTGCCATCCACTGCTCTCCGGTTTTTGCTTTGTTTTTACCCTGCAGTTACTAACTTTGTTGTTTACTGCCTTTATTCCATGATTAAAATTAAGTTCTATGAGGAAGGTGTCATAGTTAATTTTAGTCCCTAATATATATTCCAAAATTGTTTAACACTCTAAGACACAGTAGCTACTCAGTCCAAGTCAAAGTCTCACCAAGGAACCAAGCCCTTCTCTTCTCCATGATCTGAGGTACTGGAATTGCCTTTCTGCGATGACATCTGTGTAATGTGGGAACAACGGCCTGTGCACTGTGGGGAGCACACTGGTTTTAATTGTCTGTATCCTAACACCTAGGAGAGCTAAAGAGGCCAACCATACTACAGTGTTCAGCATAGCAAGAGCTAAGTTGTAACACTCCACCAGCTTTGGCACCCAACTCCTCACTGCAGGAATGGATGCTATGATGGTGGTTAAGTCATTTGGCCTCTTGAAGTGTTGGATTGGTCAATTTCCAAACAAGATGATGCATCATGGGAGGAAAACAGATGAACCCCCAGCACCTAGCAGAGAGCTTGACATAAAGAAGATAAGAAAAAAGAAAGGACAACAACGTGTGTGTGTGTGTGTCTATGTGTTTGTCTGTGTGTGTCTATGTGTGTGTGTGTGTGTGTATGTGTGTCTGTGTCTGTGTCTGTGTGTGTGGTACTTGGCATGGTGCTTGGCATTTATAATCAGGCATTCCCACAGGAAATGCTCTCCAAGTGCCCAGGTTGTGCTTAGTAAGACTCAGTGACTGTGGTGATTGATGAATGATGATTGATGAATGAAATACTTCTGTTCAGTCACCCAGGACTGGGCAGTGGAGAGACTTTCTCTGTGTAAGATACACTGACTAAAATGGCAGCTTGTATAAAATGTATCTCTCATGCACCAGAAAGCCTCATTACCTATTCGGACACAGAAGTGACTGACGGCACAACCTTTCTTCATTTCCATTGTCCGTGCCTCTGAGAGAGATCACAGGCTTACCTTTCCTGGCCAGTATCTTCCACTGGCTGCACTCACAAATCAAGAAAATTTAATGAGCACAGTGGGCCTCTTTAGAATGAGCCGAGACTGGGGTCTTGGGTTCTTGACATGTCTGCTTGATTTTTTCCAAGTGCTTGAGAGGAAGTGCTAGGGGAAGGGAACTAGGAAGGCTAGGTGCTAACATCTGCCTTCTCTCTCCACCACACTTCAACAGTATGTTCTCAGTGAGCTGCCACTCTCAGATGTGTGCACTGCAATGGCAAGGAATTAAAAATGAAACTGCCACTGAGGACTGGCAGGAGTCGTAATCAGCAGTTCGTTGTGGCAGCAGTAGCAATAGCAGAAAGAATAGACCACATGCATAAATACAGCACTCGTTCTGTGATTTGCCAAGCCCTCCGCTTCAAGTCTTTGGATCGGCTTATTAGCCTGATACACAATGGAAACAGTGATGACCAGGGAAGAATCTGCAACCATCCAGATAACTAGTCTAGAAAACAAATTCAAAGGAAGCCTTCGGAAAAATCCACTTAAGACCGCGTGGCCTAAACAATGTGCTTGGCCTCTCTGGACCCTGCCTTTCTCTATCTAAAAGCATCAACCGCCTGTTGATTGCAGTTTGATGAGTGAGTGCATGCAAAGACCTTAGACTCCCTCCCAGCGCATGGTAGGAGCTCACAACTTAGACATTACTTCTAAGGCAATCGAATTCCAAAGCCTAAGAACTCCAGGCTGCTGGAAGTCTTGCCTGGGTCTTTAAGCAATGACTTCAGGCTCAAAAAGTACTGGGATGTCACGATTTTTGGAAATACCCTGCTAGTTGTCACTCAGGACTTCTTCCTGCCTGTGATGGAGTACGTGTGTATGTGTGGCAGGGGGTAGGTAGTTCGAAACCCAGAGGCACACCACCAGTTGTGGGTCTTTCGACTAAATAACTCCATGCTCTTGAACCTGAATTTTGTCTCTTTAAAAAGTGAGAAAATTCTGGTCCCTATGTGTAGAGCTTCTATGATGTTAAGTAAAAAAAAAAAATCCCTAAGGGGCTCTGATCACATAGCCTATACCACAGCAAACTCAATAAAAGGGAGAAGGAACTGACATTACAAGTAAATGACAAATATTCTTACAGTCATAATCAGTTGCAATGAAAATACCAAAACGTGAGACTTCTACCACTCTGTGGTAGGTGGAGGAAGAGGAAGGATTTCAAAGCTGAGCGTGTTTCCAGGGAGTCCGCTCTCCTCCTTTGCTCTCCCTTCTGCATTAAAACCCTTCCAACTTTGCCTCACTCTAGGTGGGCGCCTAACTCACACAGCTAGGATTTCCAAGAGTCCTTTGACCTCCAGGTTGAACTTGTCTCAAGAATGAGGGTTTTGTACTGTTTCCCTCAGTTCTTACTGGCATCTGAGAATGCAGATATGATGCTGAGAAAGAGAGAGAAAGGCCTTTTTTTTTTTTTTTAAACTAGGCAAGGTCGATGTGATATGGAGAAAAATATACCTAAGAGATAGAATAAAAAAATCCCTTGTGGTTGGTAGTACCACTCACTGCTGCCCCAACCCCTGTGTGGCAGGCTGACCAAGCTATTTGATCCTGAAAGGTGGCCACCAAGTTTGGCACCATTTGGAAAAATAAAATAAATGAAATAATACTGCAAATCGCAAAGTGATCTGTACGGTCCCAGACTTCACGGCTACTAAGTCCCAGAAATCTGTACAAGAGGTGACAATCAAGGTAAAAGTAGTTCTTCTGCACTCCCACTCCCCCCCCACAGTGGGGTGTGTCTCCTTAGCAGCTGACTGACCTGAGACCTTTGGCTCATGTGTGCATCGTAGCTGGACCCGTGGTACTTGGCCGTAAAATCTGGGCTGTAGCCAGCATCACAAGTGCACGGTATATTTGAGCACGGGGGCTGTTTCCTAGATCTATAAACCTGTGGGAGAAAGCTACAATGGTTACATGCAGGAGGGGGAGGGTGCTAGGTACTCAGGGAAGGAATTAGGGGAAGGCAAAGAAGGAGACTCATCTTGACTTACTAAGGCCAAGTGGTTGGAAAATCTAGTGTACAAGATGCACAGCCCCCAAACAAAGAGGTCAGATATAAGCGGTCCCCAAGCCCCGGGGCCAGTGGTAGTAAGACATGCCACTCTGTGGAATGACCCCAATGTCTGGCAGCAACTGAGACCCTCCCTCTGCAAGGAGAAGGTGTCCAGGCATGGCAGTGTTCTCTCTCTGTCTTTCAGCAAGGCAGTCCTATGGAAAATGGACTCAAGTTCACTGCCAAAAGAATGCCCTTTTCCTTCCCAAGGAAGGGAAGAGATGGCATTTTGCAGGATGAGGAGGTTTTGCTATCCCCAGGTACTGCGTTCAGCATAGTTCACCCCACCAGGCAAAGAGCCCGTCCCAGGGCCCCAAATCCATGTAGACACTCTACACGGTGACCACGTGCCATTTAGAGCTTCAGAGCTATGGTTTCCAGTTGAAATGTGGAAGCCACCTTATGAGGCCACATACCATTGAGCTGAGAAGGCTTTATAGAGTAAGAATCTGAAGGAGTATTTTTAGCCACCGCTTTCCCCAAGCCCTCATTATATGTAGAAGTGATTTCTCCACCCTCCACCCATGTTGGGGAGAGAGCACAGGGCCAGTCAGGTTCTCTACCGCTGAGCTGACTCTGGTCCTCTGCCAAGTTACATATGGAGAAGAAAGAACATCTATAGATTTCAGAGATGCTTTTCCACTGTACTTCAGATACAATTACCTCTTCTTAAGCTGCTTCCAGAAACCCCTCCCCAAAGCAGAGCTTTCTGTAAAAGTTAGGATCGTCTCTCCTTCCATTTCTCTAAGACAAGCACAATGGCCTGGAGAGAAGGAAATAGGCAACTGGGCCAAAGCGGTGATTTTTTAAAAATTAGAATGAGTAACGGCAGACAGGTCTCTAAGGCTAGTCTAGTGTGACTGCAGAAGGGAGCTGCTCCTTCGCTGAAAGACCCTGGAGGAAACAGCTGAAGAACGAAAGCTGGAAGGAGGGAGAGGGAGAGAGGGAGAGAGGGAGAGAGGGAGAGAGGGAGAGGGAGAGGGAGAGGGAGAGGGAGAGGGAGAGGGAGAGGGAGAGGGAGAGGGAGAGGGAGAGGGAGAGGGAGAGAGAGAGAGAGAGAGAGAGAGAGAGAGAGAGAGAGAGAGAGAGAGAGAGAGAGAGAGAGAGAGAGAGAGAGAGAGAGAGAGAGAGAAAGGAACCTCCGGAACTAGATGAGGGGGTTCTTCACAGAGCCCAGAAAGACAGCAGGGCCGAAGGGAAAGATAGTCCCCGAGGTTTAATCAGGCATTTCTAGGCTGTAATTAGAAGTGGAAGGCTACTGAAAGGAAGAGAGCCGAAAGCTACTTCCGGGAAGATGACGCTAACACAAAAGACGGGAGAGCAGTGCAGGAGCCAACCACACAAGCCCAGCCGCATGCGCACGCGTGGACGGGGAATCGCTAACAGGGTTCTCTAGCAACGGTGCAGGCCGTTTTGCTCCTACCTGGTTGTAGCTGCTTGAGCCTGCAGAACGGACATGGGAGAATGAAGGACAGCAAAGCCCAGGGAAAGCACTCAGGCCCCACACCCGGCAAGACACACCTTGCGTGCAGGACGTCCCACCTGCTGCTTTAGCTGATGCACCAATCGGTCTTTTTCCCGCTTCAGAGCCATGACTTCCTCCTGGGTTTTTTTCTTTTTGGAGGCAGACAATTCCAGCAAGGCAATGTTCGCATCTTTCTCACTGATGGCCGCGAGTAGTGCTTCCTGTCTGGTAAGATAAAGATGATTGTGATCCTTTTAGTAAAAGGAAAAACAATAAAAAGTCCTCAAATAATTGGCATCTGTGACTCAGTTGAGTCACAAACTATTACCTCTTTGGAAAAGATTGCAAACAGCACTTAAAATGAGCTACGATTTGCTCTCAGATGGACAAAGTAGCTGGGTCAGAGTCACTAAGACTAGCTCATTGTGTCATTTGAGAGAAGAGTTCTTCCAAAGGCTTCAGAGACACAGATACAAATTAGAAATGCAAGGGGGTCAAGATAACCATCTATTCCTAACACAATTCTGTCCATCCATCAACCCATCCGTCCTTCCACCAAGTAGGGCTCTATGCCCTCAAGGCAACCCAGCAAAACCAGGCGGCAAATCCATTATCATGGGAGGTTTGTCATGTGACATTTTTCTTCTCACGTCAGGTCAAGGTCTTTTCCGAGAGTCTCCTTTCCATTTCCAATTTGCTTAGCGAATGTGACCCTCGTTTTCATCCTCTGGGCCTTGCCTGCATCACACAACCCCTCTGCCTCTCGATTCCAGTCCAAACGCGTCTTCTGCAGTTACCAGCTCTGACAGTGTTGCCACACTAATGGGGAAGTCCTGTGTATATGTCAATAAAGCACTGTTGGCCAATAGGGAAGCAAGATAGGTGGGACTAGGAGTCGAGGAGGACTCTGGGAAGGAGAAACACAGGGAGTCAAGATGTAGCTGCCATAGGGGTGAGCAAGAAGTCCGGACCCTTTTCTCCGGTAAGAGAAATACTTGGATTAACAATTATGGAGTAAATACTTAAGTCAGAGCTAGCCAGTAAGAAACAAGCAAGGCCAACAGCTTCATAATTAATACAGCCTCCCGTGTGTTCATTTGGGACTGATGCGGCTCTGGAACCAGGCTGGCGGGAAGGCTTCCCTCTACACCCCACCTGCCAGCCTTAAACGTCATACTGTTTAAGTTCCCCAGGGGACCCTTCACCACTTGACAGGATAATTTATGTTGGTTACTTGTGATGCCCTATCAGCTTGAGACCTCATCCATCCTTGGTAGCTCCAGCTTCTAGGAAGACCTGTAGGTGCTCAAAATATTGGTTCCATTAGTAGATATGTTCACTATTTTATTTTACAAACTTTGAAAACATTATTGGCCTTCTTCTTCCTCTTCAAAAACAAGACATCTAAGGCCAGCCAGATGGCTCAGCAGTTGGAGGTACCTGGGTCACAAGCCTGATAACCTGCGTTCAGTCTCCCGCAACCCAACCCCACAAAGTCATCCTCTGACTTCCACATGTACACCCTGCCATATGTGCTACTCCCTCCCTCATCATCATGCATTCAAGCGTGTGTGTGTGTGTGTGTGTGTGCGTGCACATGCATGCACATGCATGTATTCACACACACACAAATAATAAATAAATTAAAAATGAAAATTTTCCTTCTGGACTTATTTATGATCATTGCCTATTTGGGAGTTTCAAGCTGCTTCCTCCCATCTTTAGAGTCTACTTTTCGGAATGTTATTTGTTACAAATTGCAACCTGAGATAGTCCGGGGCAACTTTTTGACAAGCAAATGGCTTTATTTTAGTGTGTGTCATTGATTCCTTCTCTGCCCCTACTCCCTGAGTCATTTATGAGACATTCTAGATGCCTCAGAAAACCTCATAGCTCTAGGGAAGTCTCAATGTTGGGAACTTTTCATGTATATAAGTCCCAAGACTAAAACCTGGTTACGCTTCTGGGTTGTACTTTCCTATCCCTGTCATCAGAATTGCCCTCTTCTAGATATTTGAACAAGGTGGCCTTTATTTGGATTGCTGAGACCTCCCCGCACCCACCCACACACATCTCTTTTCATGACAGGGATACGCATGGGTCTTTCTGTCCTCCACTCATGCTCAGACTACTTGTAGCAGCATCAATGCCCGGTTTCCCCAAATAACATGTTGACATGGCAGGCCTGCTCACCACCCTGCAGCAGCACACTCCTCTAGAATACCGTGCTAAAAAGCCCGGGTGGACTTCACACTAGGGAGAGCCCATACGCTCAGGTTCCATCCAGGCTGTATGACCCGTGGACTCTTCACAGATACGCATTTCAAAAGGGAGCTTGAGAACTGCAAATGTTTTTATTAGGTTTTTGAGCCACTGAGCCAAATTTCTCTATATGGGGAGAAAAATAAGAGACACTTAATTTAAACCTCCCAATCGATTCCAATGCTGGCCGCTCTAACAGGCCTGGGTAGACCACACAAGGTCACTGCAACATTTTACTCCCACCCCTAAGCTGGCACCAAAAATATTTTCTTAATGGATGTTACTTAAAAGATCAGTTTTAGGAAGCTTGTAAATTGTGCTTTCTCCCTCTGGATATTCTTTATGGTTATATGAACGCACTGACAATGCAGATAAAAGTCTTAAGAGACATGTGAAAACATTTAAGCTTGCTGGGAAACTGCTCATCAGGGGTCTTGTGACTCAGTACATTTTAGAAGCAATGGTATCATCCTCTTTTCTGACAAATCTTTCTGGGCTATTTGTACAACAATGAGCACGGAAGGACACAGGAAGTCTCTTCTGGGTCAAAGGGCAGATATGCTTGCTATGCCGTATTACAGTGATGAACCATGGACAAACATTCCACTGCCCATTTCAAAGTAGTCAAGCTCCCTAAACTCAGGGCTGCTCTCCTGTCATACAAACAGCTGCGTGAACATGTTCCTCTGGCCTCGGTGGGACCAGTTGCTAGTGGAATAGATGCAAACACGCTAACACTGATCTCTGAGTTATGAGCAATAAACTATTTTACATCTGTCACTGTCGTCTCTTGCACTTGCAACAGAGATAGGGAGCCTGCTACATGCCACTAGAGGTGTCTCAAGCTTTCCCGAGTTCTTGAAACAGTGTGTATCCAACAGGATCCCGAATGGTGGATGTGAGAAGCACAGAGTTACCTTAAACAACTTTCTCTTATTCCTTTCTGCCTTATCCTTCTCCCCAAAACACCATCAGAGTAAACGTTGAGGACTCTAAGTAAATCCCTGAACTCACCAAGAGAGATCAGGTACATCAGGCACAAGCTGCCAAAGGTTTGTAGGTTTCAATGTTCTCCCCAAGTTTACTTATGCACTGCCTATCATCCTCAGCCTTGATGTTGAGACAGGGGCACAGCTTTCACGTGTGCAAGTCTGGGGCAATCCAGATCGACTCCCACTGGAAAAATGTCAGGAATCTCCTAACAAGGATTTGGTGTCTGCTTTTGCCCCCTTTGCCAATTTTCCTCATCCAGAGTTTGATACTGCACAGCTTTAGTAACAACCTCTAAATGTTACCATAACCCAAACACCGATCATTCAAAACTTCCCCTTTCTAAGCGTTTAGTACTTACTTTTCCTTTTATTGGATTATTAAAATTCCCAATAACAATAACAATATCATTATGAATATAATAGTATCGTTATAAATTATGATGAGTCACAAATATAATGATATTATTATCATTATTATTATCACCAGGAATTGAGCCAGGGCATTAGATATTCCTGACAGGCACTTAAACACTGAGCTACATAACTAGTCCCAGTAAATAAACTTTTAATTCTCACTTTAGTGCTAAAGGAAAATACAAATTATTTTCTAATTCTTTATAGATGCTATCACCAAATAGAACTCATAAAACATTTTTGTAAAAGTATTTTCAAGGCCATTCACCAACATTAATATTCATGAAAATAATCCATTTGATTCTTCATATTTTTTATTTTGGTTGACCAAACTGTCTTATAATACAATTATAAAGCTTCCAGTAAAATTTATTTAATAAAGATCAGATACATTTTGAAACCCTCACTTAAATATTGGCCAAAATTAATATGATTCCCCTTAACACATATAGAAATTTATGGTAAATAACTGTATTCTTTGAAGCAACAAGTATCAGAAGGTAACAAAAATGCATAAGCATAAAAATGTATGACGCCATTACCCATCAGGGCATTTGCAACGGTCAAGACGATCCCTGTCTGCATTCGCACAGTCACTTATGAGCACGGCCAACACTCTAGGTTGCACTTTGTCCAACCAGCTTTACAAGATGGCTGGAGAAAATCTCCACAAACAGTTCTACCTACGGTATTTTTAAATCACGTTGACACAAACTCAGTGCAGTTACGAGTTTCTGTTATCTTTGCTTCAAAGGCCTTCATTTTTGGAGTGATAATGAGCACACTTTAGTAAAGATGAGCTTTATTCTGCCAGCCCACATCTGTGCCTTTATGGTCCCTGGGAGCCCACTTGACAATCCACTGCCACAGAGCACCCACACTCAAGTCATTCTCCGAAGCATGTGAAGGTCTGCAGAGACAATACACTGCTAACTATTTCTGTGCTTCTCCCCAAGTGGAGATTTTTGGTTGAGCCACTTGAAAACTTAAAATATTTGCAGTTATGAACCACCATTTTAAAAAATTCCAACTTAGAAGACTACACAAATGACAAAACACACTTGACTATAAACAAAGAAAAATTCTTCATTTTTCAGAAAATTCATTGCCTCCTGGATCCAGGGCGGGGTGTACCCTGCTTCAGAAATCGATTCTGTCTCATCAACAGGAAATGTTGCCAGCCCTTTAAAGCACTTTCCGCACTCAGACTATCTTTTTTTTTTTTAATTCACAGACAACGTAAGAATTACATATAAATACATCCTTGGTCATTTAGTACGGGTAAGTATGTACTGGAAGCTTGCAACATTATCTTTTGAACACTGCTATACATTAGTATACAGTTACTGAGGTAATCTGTCTGTGCACCAAAATATAGCTTAAAATATGAAAAGGAAGCCCAAATATGCTAGCAAAGAAGATAAGATAATGCAAAGAGAAATAAATCTATGGGTCTGCTGTGTGCCAAGCTGAGAAAGTGGAGCATAGACAGCATTTTATCAAAGCGCAGCCTAAACAAACGTCAAGGAGAATAACTTCTTTAACAAATATGGGCAA